CTAAAAAGGTTTTTACTTCATTTTTTTCAAAAACTACTTTTTGGGTGACTTGGTACACCCCAACTCAATACCAAGTGGCGACTCCTACCTTTCTGTTTAAAACCTTTTTAGATTATCATTTTGGCCAAACCGTCGCATTTAAAAGTCCCATGGTCTTTCCCTTTATTTCTCACATTCACACACTTCACATATTTCACGCACACTACACATTATGGTTTCAAACAACTTTATTTTTCTTTATTTATTTCAAAAATTGGGGCGCGACAATTAACATTCATGAAATTTATTAAACTTTTATGAAAGGAATAGAGGAAGTAGGATAAATTTTAAAAAATAAAATAATAGAAATTAAAGAAGAAGAAAAACGATGAATACATCTTTGCAAAAATTAGAATATAATTATTAGAGTAATTTAGATTTACCCACTAATGATTGAGTTTGAATCTACGTCTAATTTAATTAAGTAAAAATAAGTGATCCAAATCTGTCAATTTCATACCCACTAATTAATGGGTTAATTTGGTCACCCATTTGAATCCAATTAAATTACACATGCAAACTCATTTATTAATAGGCGAGCCAAATAAATAAGTTACCATTTACATTTTAGAGCAAATTATTCGGCTGGCCATTAAACTTTTGAGTTTTGATCACTCAACTATTAAAAGTATGATTTTGGCCACTAAAATGTATAAAGTTAAAACTCGTGGCCATTTTGTTAGATTTAGCCGTTAAGTTTGTCGATCTGTCTGTTCACACGATTTCCAAGACAAAATTTAGGGTCAATTTAGGAAGTTAAAAATAGCACTTGCATCTCTTCGTCCTTTCCTATGCATCTGTTCTTTGTCCTCCTTTTGTTTTTGCTTAAACCCAAACATCAAACATTTGAGAAATGAACAAAAACAGTTCTTGGTGATTCCTGGAACCACTCACAGCACCATTGCCAGTGGGAAGGAGTCACTTGTGGCACTCGACACCAAAGGGTCATTGCCTTGACTTTGAGGAGTAAGCAGTTGTCTGGAACTATATCTCCTCAGGTCAGAAATCTAAGCTTCATGAGGTTCATCCAACTTGGGGAGAATCAATTCCATGGTGGGATTCCCCAAGAATTCATTCGCCTCCTCAGGTTAAGAGTCTTGAACTTGTCGAGTAATGCACTCGGTGGAAAAATCCCAGAAAATCTGAGCCACTGCGCAGAGATGATAGCTATTGACCTAACCAGTAACAAGCTAGAAAGGAAGACTACAATCTATCAGCTAAGCAATTTGAAGAAGCTTAAAGGATTATATTTTACCAAAAGCAATCTGACAGGAGAGATTCCCTCTCCCATTGGGATCTTATCATCATCATTGATCGGACTCGGCCTTGACTTCAACAATCTGGAGGGAATTTGCCTCTGGAGATGGGGCTTTTGAAAAGGTTGGTTCAATTATTTCTCGAATGAACGGGGATTCAATCCACTGAGGCTTCTCTCGAAATGGATGTGAAGGCTCAGACTTCTTGCTATCTTCCCAAGCCAGTTAGTGGATCGAGAGAGCTCCGCCCAAAGAGTGCCTACAGCCCGTGCTAGCCCAAGATCCGTCTAAGCGTTCCACAGGTGATGAAATAGTACCGGCAACTGGTGGAGCTTCTAGGATCAGATCTGCAGCTCCTTCTGTAACAGCTTAGGGTGGATTGGTTTGAATAGCCCTATTGACTAGGAGAGTCAGCATTACCGCAACTTTGACTCTATTGCAGGAAGGACTACTTGGAGTTCCATACCATGACTTCCATGGCAATCTCCCAATTGATATGGGTCTCACCCTACCAAATCTGAAACTATTAGCTGTTATGGAAAACAATTTCTCTGGAATCTTTCCTACTTCAATCACCAATGCTTCTGGGCTTGAGTAAGGAACTTGAGGAACTTGCCCTAAAGAAGAAGATGCTATTTTTAACTTCCTAAATTGACCCTGCATTTTGTTTTGAAAATCGTGCAAACAGACAGATCGGTGAATTTAACGGCTAAATCTAACAGAATGGCCACGAGTTTTAACTTTATACATTTTAGTGGCCAAAACCAGACTTTTAATAGTTGAATGACCAAAACTCGACGATTGCAAAAGTTTAGTGGCCAACCGGATAATTTGCTCTACATTTTATAAATAGATAAAAATAATAGTAGAATAGGAGACAAGTGGGTTGTAAAATTGGATAAGAGATAGGATAATTGGGTGGGAATGAGATAGAGCAAAGAAAAAATAGGCTTTGATAAAACAAGAAAGGGTTGTAGGGATACATAAAAATTCGATAAGATTTGAAGGAACGACGAAAGTTTGTAGGGATGCGAGAAAGTTAGATTCACAAAGTGAAAAAGGAGAGGAGGTTGGGAGGTGAAAAAAATGGCATGAAGGAGGAGAATATGAGAGAAATGGGTAATAATATTATATTTAGTCATATTTCTCCTTCTCATATAAACCCGTGCATAGCACGGGCCAAAATACTAGTGTCTACGTATTACCAATACTTCCCCTTCTCTATTCTCTCATTATCCTCTATCAGTAATTTTCAAACTGTCTGGGATTGACTTTATTATCATGACTTTCATCAATGGTAACCACTTTTATAAGCCTTCCAAAATATGGAAATCTGAAAAATATAAGAGGCAAAAGATGAGGGAAAATTTCTTGAAATAATGTTGAAAAAAAAAAGATTGCAAAAATGGAGTGATTGTGGTGGGTTTTCTTAATCCAGCCTCGCCGCACATCTCAATTACAGAAACTAGGAAAATTGATTTTTGTTTATTTTTTTCTAAACAGTATCGCCATATGTTTTAAAACCCGAACCGTCAATTGAATCGGTGAAGTGAAAGGGTCGAGGTTCAACCAGTCGGACCGGTTCAACCCCCGTTCAATGAATTTTTTTAAAAATAATTTATAAATATATATATATGCACAAAATAAGACATGCAATGGACTAATTTAAAACTTTATATGATGAAAAGTTTACTATTTTTGAATAACTTGAATTTTCAAAAATAAATTTTTTAAATTATAAGTTAAAACAAATAAATTTCATCTCAATTTTAGGGGTGGCAATTTCTGACATGACCCAAAAACATGACATGAACCTAACACGAAAGTAATGGGTTTGGGTTGAGGTTTCGTGGGTTCGGGTCAGAATCGGGTCGAACTCGATGAACCTGAAAAGAAAACAGGTCGATTTCGGGTCAACCCGTGATGACTTGATGTGACCGATATGACCCGTTTACGAATTAAAAATAATTTAATAAACATAAAAATTATTTTATCTAACTAAACTAAATCATTCTTTTTTTCAAAGGCATTAATTACTTAATCCTAAATGAATTTATTTAACTTGTGTGAAGTTGAAATTATTATATTTGGACAAATAATATATTATATTATTTTTTACTTTTATGCTGTTTTAATTTATTTTATATTTGGTTTGGGATAAAACACTTTTACGGTGTTTAATTTATTTTAGATTTGGTTTGAAATTATTTATTTAAATTTTTATTACTTGATGATGTAATTAATTTTGTGAAAAATTGATTTTATTAGAAATTACAGTGATAAATTAATAAATTAAAATTAAGTTTCGAGTCATTTCGGGTCGACCCGCCAACCTAAAATTTTCGGGTTCGTGGCAGGTATCCTGACCCGTTTCGGGTTGGCGGGTCAAGTTCGGGTCAGCGGGTTTTTTGTTATATTTAGACCTCAACCCAACCCGCCAACCCGAACTCGACCCGATTGCCACTCCTACTCAATTTCAATTATATCTACCAAAAAAAATCTTAAATTCAACCCAAAAATAGCACAATATTTTGAAATTATACAAAATTCACGTCTATGAGAATTTGACATTGTGAACTTAAATTTTAATTTACGTCTTTGGAATTTAGAGATTATAATTTAAAAAAGAAAGTTTGGAGTTCGAAGGAAGTCAAGAGAATCGACAATAAAAATGCAAACTTGATAAGAAACAAAAAACGAGATAAAAGTGAGTGGTTGTGGCATTAAATAATTTGGGTTAAAGAAAAATTATTCTTTTTTAACTTTTTTCAATTTAATGGACAAAAACAAAATTAAAAGATGGAAGAAAATATCAATAAATTAAAACTAAAGAGGTTTGATTAAAAAGGGAATGACAAAAGAAAAGAGGAGAGAGAGAGAGAGAGTTGAAAATTAAAAAGAGAGAGTTGAAAATTAATGAGATTTTGTAAGAAAAATGGAAAAAAGAAATATGGATATTTGTTTTATATAAATAAGTTATCAAAAAAAGCAAATAAGATGTGATGGTGCAGTGGTTACTACATTGGTCATCTATTACAAAGAAGGTCTTAAGTTCAAATCTTGATAGAAGTATAGGAGTGCAAACGAATCGAGCCGCTCGCGAGCGGCTCGATTCAAGCTCGACTTGAGCTCGATCAATATCGAGCTCGAGCTCGAGCTCAAAACATTAAGTTCGTTAGCTCGCGAGCTCGAGTATATATATATATATTTTTTTTTATTTTTATTTTTAATAGTAAAATTACATAAATATCCTTAATATTTTATTATTTATTAAGAAAAAATATTATTTTATTTATTTTTTAAAAAATAAAATAATTATTTTTTTATTTTTTTCGAGTTCGAGCTTGAAAATTACTAGCTCGTCGAGCTCGAGCTCGAGTTCGAGTTCGAGTTCGATGAAATTAAGTCAAGGCTCGACTCGATAAGGCCAAAACTCGACTCGGCTCGGCTCGTTTGCAGCCCTAAGAAGTATTTTGCAAAACTTTTTTTAAAAAAAAAAAAAAAAAAGTGGTGAAACTTGAAAACCGGTTCAAGTCGGTTCGATGGTTTCAGGTTTGACCGATTTTCTGACAAAGCCAACTCTAACATAGAACCGGACCGATGCCATGGCCGGTTCGCGGTTCAACCGGTCGAACTGCCCGGTCCGGTCCGATTTTCAAAACTCAAAGAGAACATCAGTCAAATTCTACATATTTGTTACATCTATTTATTTAACCCATAAAACTTAGGAAAAATGATTAATATGGTCATCGTAGTCTTGTACAATATGTTACACAGATTGTGCACCAGTTGATAACAACCTAGAAATAAAGAGCATTGTTGGCCTAGATTGTGGATCAACATGTAGACATTCTCTTGCTACTTTGAGAACGGATGCCAGAATGTTTTCAATTTCTCGATTGGGATACAGAAGTCTTTGATCGAACAAGTCTTTCAGTTCTATTTTCTCGGGCTTTGAAGACACTAGATAAGCAATCAAGTCACCGGGGTGCTTTCCTTTGATTACTTCCATTGTCAGGACCCCAAAGCCATAAACATCACACTTTTCAGTTACTTTCATTGTGTAGGCAAATTCTGCAAGGAAAAGTTGGAAAATTATGACGTCACTCGTGATAACATGTGATCGTATTAAAAACTAGTAGTTAATAAATCAAAGACGGGCAAAAAACATTATTACCTGGTGCAACATATCCACATGTTCCTGCAAGAGAACTCCAATTAGATGAGTCTTTTTTCAGAAACTTAGAAGTGCCAAAATCTGAAATTCAGATGAGCTTCGTCTTCTGAATCGAGCAAAATGTTGTTGCTTGATATGTCCCGATGTACAATTGCTGGTGAACAATCATGATGTATGTAAGATAAAGCTTGAGCGATGCCTTTGATAATTTTTAACCTCTTCTGCCAGCCTAGTTCAATAGCTTCTTCTTCTATGCTCAAGATTTTGGCCAAACTCCCTCTTTCAAGATACTCATAAACCAAAAATGAGTGCTGAGAATTGGAGCAGAAGCCCAAGAGTTTTACAATGTTTCGATGCTTGATTTCTGTCAAGGCTCTTATCTCATTCAAGAAACTTCTATGACTTGCCATCTCTGGCATGTTGTGAAGTCTCTTTACAGCTACTACATCCCCTGATGAAAGCTGTGCTCTATAAACACTTCCATAACCTCCTTTCCCTATGCAAAATACTTCACTGAACTCTTGTGTAGTCAATACTATTTCTTTATACAATGCTTTGCCATCATAACCATAAATGGCTCTTCTTCAAATCCATATCTTCCAATCCTAAAATTTTTTTCCTTTGATCACGCAATTTGAGAATACCAAAGAATGCACCTAGAAGTATGAATGACCCCAGAAGAGGAAATACAATTGTGAGAACAAGTTTTTTCCTCTTATTTTTGACATGGCTTTTGATTAATGCAGAACTTTCACAAGCTCGTAACCCTGTAATATTGCCACACAAGCCTTTATTTCCCTTTACTTCTTCTATGGTTAAATTCACAAAGGCTTTGCCACTTGGAATTGGACCCTCTAAATTATTGAAAGAAATATTAATTTGCAATGAACCAGGCAATTCTGCTAAAGCCTTTGGGATTAAACCAGAGAGGTTATTGTGGGAGAGGTCCAATGTTCCCAGACTCTGCAAACTTCGGAACTCTGATGGTATCTCTCCTGTGAAGAAATTTAGACTCAAATCTAGTTCAGAAAGTTGGGTCAACTTGCCAATCTCGAATGGAATCTTTTGGCTGAAAATGTTGTTGCTCAAGTTCATGTAAAACAAGTGCTTCAAATCTTCCAAATGTTCTGGAAAAGATCCATTCAAGGAATTTGTGGATAGGTCTAGATAAAGAAGTTCGGTTAGCATTCCCAATTCCTGAGGTACACCACCAAGAAATTGGTTCTCATGTAAATCTAGTTTAAGCATAGAGGTCAACTTCCCCACTACCCTTGGTATCTCCCCGGATAAAAAGTTTGAAGAAATGTCAAGTGCATGCAGTTGAGATAAATTTCCAAATTCTAAAGGTATACCACCTGTGATGTTATTCTTTGCAATTATCAGGGTTTTCAAGATTTTGCATTCAACCCAGTTGCTGGAGAGTTCACCGTAGAACTCATTGTTGCTGAGATCTATGAAGTCCAGGAATGGATAGATGCCGAACATTTCTGACAAGTTACCGTGGAAATGGTTCCCATTGAAACGGGTCCTAATCAAGCTTGAGCAATTTTTCAAGCTTCCAGGGATTGGACCTGTAAGCACGTTCTCAGATACAGAAATGATTTGGAGTGAGCCATTTTGACATAGCAATTCTGGCAATGGACCAGAGAGCTGATTTTGATCCAATACCAAAATTGCCAACTTTTTCAAGTTTCCAAGCTTTTGTGGAATGGAACCAGAAAATTGGTTTTTTCGGAGAAACAGTTTTTCCAAGTTACTCAAGTTACCAATTGAAACAGGAATGGAACCACTAAGTTGGTTTTCGCCCAATTCCATATTGGTAAGGAGTTTTAGATCACCCAATTCCTTTGGAATTGGACCTGAAAGTTGATTGTCAAAGAGAATTAGACCAATCAAATTGGATAAAGTTCCAAGTGACTTTGGGATTCCACCAGAAAGATTATTTTGAGACAAAATAAGAAATTGAAGTGAGATCATATTCCTGATCGTAGGAGGAATGGGTCCAGATAGGAGATTATGGGAAAGGTATAAGTTAACTAGCCTAGTGAGGTTACCAAAAGTGGCTGGAATTGAACCTATCAAAGTGTTGTTGTCCAGATAAAGTTCAATCAGATTATGCAGAGTTCCAATTCCTGATGGAATTGGACCTGAAAGTTGATTACTTCCGAGAGCTAAATGAGTCAAGTTTCTCAAGTTGCAAATTTCAGGTGGGATTTCTTGTGACAGCTCATTAACTGAGAAATCAAGATAAATGAGCTTCGACAAGTTACCTATTTCACGAGGTATGCTGCCAAAGATCTGATTCAGGCTAAGTTCAAGATATTCAAGATTTGGGAGGGATGAAAATGGGAAGTCATAAAGGCTACCTTTTATGCTGTATTCTGAGAGATTCAACCTGTTGACACTTCCATTAATGCATGAAATACCAGCCCAAGTGCATGGAAGGTTGGAAGAATTCTTGGCATTTTTGGGTTGGAGGTTCCACGAGGTTAGCAAGCTATTGTTCTGGTTTTGAAAACTGGCTTTCCATTTCAAAAGACCAGCCGCCTCACTAGCAGAATCGGAAGCGATACCTTTGGCTTTGGGATGAGATGATGGGAAAAGTAGGACCATAATGAATATGGAGATAAATTCAAAAAAACCCATGACTACTTTCGAGTTCAACTCAAGTTTGCCCAGGTTGCTATGTGTACCATAAATAAAGCTAGTATTTATCCTGTGTTCCCAGCTGTACAAGGAAGACTTCCGAGGTTATCCTGTATTCCCAGCTGTGTTTCTGTCCTTTTCTTCTTAATTTTCCAATTTCTTTTCTTTCTTTCGGAGATTGAAACAATTAAGATGTCGACTTCGACGGCCAAGAAATTTAATGCAATGAAATGTCTTGATAAGATTGAACATTTTGACATTCTGTCACTGATTTAGAAAATATAAAGATGACTTTCCTACTATATCTGCAGAAGAAGGTGACTCGCAGTGCCTTCTATAGTATAGAGATGGAGTAGCGGTTACCAAATTCGTAAGAATGACGATCAATCTACAGGCTAAGCTATTTATGGTATAGATCTGTATTTTCTGGAGAGGGATTATGCTTAATTATTTGGTTGTAGATTTTATGAAATAGAAGTGAGAAATTGCCAAAAGATGATTTTTTTTTTTTTTCCAAATTTTCATGGGCAGATTTAATTGGTCATAGTACATTTGTTATGTTTGATATCAAAACTTCAAAGTTGAGTGGGCATTGATATCAAAACTTCAAAGTTTGTTATGTTTGATTTCGAGTATTTTTTGCATTCGCACTTTACTGATGATCTCCTGTTAGCTAGCGGCATAGACAGAGGATCTGCTCTCCATAAAAACATAGGGAAAGTTCTTTCCACATTCATTCTAGATGCCTATATAGTAGGATGTCAAATCTTTTATACTGCATCATGATATCTTAGACTACTTGTAAGTTCAATTAATATTGAAATATAATTTTCCATAATAATTAATTATCTTTTGTATTTAAAATAATTTTTTTCTTATATACAAGGAAACAAATGTTTTAAGATATTTTAAATAAACTTTATTTATAAATTTTATATATTACCAAGTATTTATAAATATTCTTTTATTGGGCCATTGGTTGAAGCAGTGAACCATCCATGTATGTCAACTTCCTTGTCGGGCGAGTTTAATAAATATGATTAAATATAATTTTTTAGAAGATGGTAGTCCTGTTTTGCTACAAATTTAATTTGATGCTAACGTTTACTGTCAAAGGCCTAACAGACTTTCACAGTCAATATATATTTTCTAACAAATTTGATGTTGGGCCCTTGTTCGTAAAGGTCCGGCCAACCGTCAAGATCAATCCAGTAGCGATCGGCTTGATGCAATTATAACATTGGGTCCTTGTGTGCGAAGGTCCAACATATAGGATCAACTTGAAGAACTTTTGGATGGAAACAGCTGATGTTTTCAAACAAATTTAGTGGTGGGCAGTTGTTAGTAAAAGTCCCATAGGCGAGGTTGATTTTAAACATATTTAATGTTGGGCCTTAATGGCAAAGGTCCAGAAGACTTTTCAGTCGAGATGAGGTTGGCTGTCCAAGTCTTTTCGTCCAAGTAATTCTCTACAAATTAATTACTACCCATTTTGAAAGCAGTTGTTAACGAAAAGAATTTATTTAAGAGCTCGAATATACTTATCATCTTGACTAAAGAAAGTCTTTTGGGATACAATAAAAAAGTATTTTTTCATTTAAGAGCGCTGATACATATATCATCTAATCGAGAAGTTTACTTAGACTTTTTAAGTTCTTTAAAAAGTAATAATCAATTAGTAGACGCTAAAAGGACATTAGTTGGAAGAAAAGTCTTTAAGGGGATAATGACAGAAGATCAAAGACTAAAACTAAGGAGTGCCAAAATCTTAAACGTGACCCGATGTACAATTGCGGGTGAACAATCATGATGCATGTAAAATAAAGCATGAGCGATGCCTTGGATGGTTTTCAACTTCTTTTGCCAGTCTTGTTCCTTGGCTTCTTCTTTGACGCTCAAAATTTTGGACAAGATTCCGCTTTCAAGGTACTAATAGACCAAAAATGAGTGCTGAGCATGAGCTTGAGCAGTTTCGCAAACTTCTAGGTATTGGACCTGTAAGCATGTTCTTAGATACAGAAATGTTTTGGAGTGTGCCATTTTGAGTCAAAGTAGTTCTGGCAAGGGACTGGATAATTGATTTTAATCCAATTCCAAGACTATGACAGGTATCGAGCCTGTGCAATAATAAAAATAGAACCTAACTATCACTAAAAGCAGTTAATAATTAACCCTAGGTACTGGAGTAGGGACTTTAGGTGTACAATGGGTTACTTGATTCACCCTATTTCCAAAGAGTTTGCTTAGATATATAGACTTTGCCATACCTGTTTTTTATGTCAAATTTGTGCTCAATCTTGTATACCACTTAATCTTTGCAATCTTTTTCCAAAAGTTTTTTTGAATGCATAGTAATTTTTTCCCTCCACAAAAAAGAAAAGTTAAAACATTTCTTTACTCATCCAATAATCATTTATCATCTAATCAAATTTTTACTTTTGTTTGAATAATGGATTTTAAAAATTATTTTCGTTTCACGAACAAAAAAATTAAAGCAACCACAGAAATAATGGATTAAATTTCTTTTGTAGTAGCATCATTTGGTGCTTCGGTTGTAACTCTTTTGCTTTGTTGTTTTCGTCGTACTTTAAAATGGTTAGTGCGACCCATATCTTGATCAATAATCATTCTTAACCTGTTACGGTGTCATATCCCGCTGTCGCTGACGGCGGTGGCCGCTGCACCAATAGCCCATAAAACCACCAGCAGAAATTGTCCCCTTCATGGTTGCAGGTTGTACCCGGTGACGGAGCCAGGATTTTTTTTTTGGGGGGGCCAAAATTGAAATTCCATTCAAAGATGACTAATTCATATATATATATATATCAACTCTCATAATATAAACTAAAATTGAAAAAATTTAGGGGGGGCCAATTTTATTTTACACACATATTTACATATTATGAATTAAAATTCTCAAAACTTAGGGGGGGCCATGGCCCCCCTCTGCCCCCCTTGGCTCCGTCATTGCCGGTGGCGAGCCTGAATCAAGCTGTATTTTGCGACCGCTTTTGCCCCCAACAAGTTCTTCTGTCATTTCTGCCGGAAACATGGGTGTTACCTATCATTGTCATATTCTACGTTTTAAGGGTTTTATTTCTTTCATTTTTGACGCGTAAATTGATGACGGGTTGACTGACGTTTCAAACACAAGTACTAATTTGCAACTTTAGAGTTACGTGTTAGAAATTATTTTGTTCTGGGTCGTAGCATCTCGAGTTGAGCTGGGCACCAGGCCCGGATTCCGAGTGAACTTGGAGGAAGTATGCCCAATCTCAACTAGGTAAATATTCATAGGGTTTTCTAACGGTTGCACTTAAGTATTCGTTAATACGTTTAATATTCATCTAATTTATCATATAGACACACATACTAATAATTATTTTTTTCTTTTATTTATATATTTTTCTTATGCAATCTTGCATACTCTCTCTTATATTTATTTACTTTTTCTAATTAATCTTATATTTTAAAAATATAATACTGAAATACATCTTAACAGGTGCCACACCTATTAGACAAACCAATATTTATATATTTAAAATATACCTTTTTGAACATAATAATTACTATCTCTGTCCTACTTTAATAATTTTATTTTCCGCTTTCATCCATCCAAAATTATAGTCCACCTTCCAATTCAAGAATATAGTTAAGTTTTAACTTCTGCAAACTACGCTTATTTAGTATGCTTCGTTATCAGTAAATATAAGTTATCTTATTTAATACATTCAACTTTTTCACCTTTGATATATGTCTTGAATGGTGCAATATACCATCATCATTATTGCTGTTATAATTAAAGTAAAAGTATAGTTATTTGTGATACTCCTAATATTAATATAAGGGTATTTTAGAAAAACATTAGGCTAGATTTATTTTTCTAACAAAGTTAACTAATTTTTTGTTATAATTAATGTAAAAGTATAGTGATTAATGATACTCTTAATATAGATTTACCTTTCTAATAAAATTAACTAATTTTTCTTAAATTGTGTGAGAACAAAAAATCAATACTATCAAAGTGAAACAAAAGTAGTAACATCTAAATAAACTTTATTTATAAGTTTTATATATTACCAAGTATTTATAAATATTCTTTCACTGAGCCATTGGTTCAAATGTTCAATCACCTACTCAGTGGCGAACCATCCATGTCGTCTCTCTGTCGACCTCCTTGTCGGGTGAATTTAACAAATATGATTAAATATTATTTTTTTCTACAAATTGATTTGATGGTCGTGCTTATCGACAAAGGCCTAAAAAACTTTCAAGTCAAGATATATTTTCAAACAAATTTAATGTTGGGCCCTTGTTCGTAAAGATCTGACCAACCGTCAAGATCTGACCAACCGTCAAGATCAATCCAGTAGCGATTGGCGTAAGACAATTACAACATTGGGTCCTTGTGTGCACAGGTCCAACATGTTACGATCAACTTGAAGAGATTTTGGATGGAAACAAACGATGTTTTAAAACAATTTAGTGATGGGCAGTTGTGAGAAAAAGTCCGATAGTCATGGTTGATTTTAAACAAATTTACTGTTGGGCCTTATTGTCAAAGGTCCAAAAGACTTTTCAGTCAAGATAAGGTTAGCTATCCAAGTGTTTTACTCCAAGTAACTGCCTACTAATTATTTACTACAATTTGATGAATGCAGTTGTTGACGGAAAAAAATTATTTAAGAGTTCGAATATATTTATCATCTTGACTAAAAAAGTCTTTTGCGACACAATAAGAAAGTCCTTTTTCATTTAAGAGCGCTGATATATATCATCTAATCGAGGAGTTTACTTAGACTTTTTAAGATCTTTAAAAAATAGTAATCAATTAGTGGACGTTAAAAAGACATTAGTTGGAGGAAAAGTCTTTAAGGGGATAATGACAAAAGATCAAAGACTAAAACTAAGGAGTGCCAAAATCTTAAATGTGACCCGACGTACAATTGCTTGATCTATCCCGACGTACAACTACTGGTGAACAATCATGATGCATGTAA